CAGTGTAGATGCAAAGTACTCTGCGCGATGACGCTCCGGGCTGCTCTCAAACCTGCAGGGTCCAATATCTGTTGATGTCGCCGGTCGTCAAAGGTCACATCAGCCTGTAGTTGGCGCGCGAGAATGCGAAATTTTGTTGGGACACAGGCACTGCTGCTAATGCTAGAACTTGATGAGATTAGCACCTCCGCATCCCGGGTAAAACGTGCCAGGGTCCAAGTTTAGATGAAGTATTCAATAAGTCGCTTGTTGTTTGAGTTTGACCCATATTCTACCCAACTTGATCATCTGGATACCCAATTTCTACTCAAAATATACCTTGCACGTGCTTTTAAAACGTGACTGCGCTAGTCTATTCGGTGCCACCTCCTAATTTTCGAGGTCCCTTTTTCCAACTCGTTAGGAGCCAAATCTGTTCACCGCCCGACTGTCAGAAATGGCCACTGCATTAATGGGCACGAACAAGTCTGCCAAAAAAGGTACGTGGCGACTGACGTCAAGTTTTGGTGCTCCCATCCTACACCATTTTTACACAGCAATTAGTATGGGCAAATGCCACATCTTTGAGCCTCAGAAACATAGGAGAAATGCCGCCTTCTATGGACTAGGTCTTTACTGGGCATTCAACAATTGTTGGGAATCTGCATCTAGAAGAATCCATCATTATGCCTGATGCGCTAAACCCATGATATCGAGCAGCACCGCATCGTCTGGTCTTTTGGCATGTGAAGGAGCAGAAATACCTACAGGGGCCTTTTGCGGTGGAGATTCACAGATGACTTTAGGCGCTCTCCAACTGCTGCCCCCGCATTCACCATCAGCTGAAATGGCTCGCTAAACATCCCCAAAACTGTACGTCCAACACAAGTACAACAGATTTGATATTCATTGTTTGTTTATGCCCGGGAAACAACAAGGTCTCTAAGAAGATTGTGACTCCTTAAACTGAATAGATGAATATTCAGCATCATTGAGAACCTCAAGCTCAGTTATTAAATCTCAAACGCAAAGACGTAGGCATCAATCCCTTGCCACTCTTGGGGTCGTTGGTACCAAGTTTGAAGTTTGGGGGAAGGCTGAGGGCCAGTGGAGCTTAGATAGTACCACGTACCCGCCCACCGCATAGCCACCCGGTGGTGACACAAGGTAGATGCTACTTCATCCCAGCTCTTGCTCTACTACCGCCCCAGCGACCGCAAACTGCTTAGCTTCACCTCTTCTCATCAACCTCAACTGCAAACCCAGCCAAGCGATATCTTGCCTATCCTTGCACAAGCAATAGCCTCTTGCGCAACAGGAGCCCCCAATCCAATCACAGCCCGCAACACGGAGAATTGCTTACAGCGGCCGCTACCTGAAGTCCGGCGCGCAAGCGAAGCAGGACGGGACTCGGCACAGACACGCCCCGACGACTCTCGGCCGTGTCTCTCCTCGATAGTGACGGCTAAGTAAGCTGGTTGGGGTGCATCGCATCATGTAAGGCGCCTTGCCTTGGTTCCTCGAAGCTGCGGCCATGTCTTGCGTCAACGACGAAAACTTTGTCGCCGTCGCGCTCGTCATCAACCGGTCTCGCGATGGGCCCGCCTTTGTCTTCCATTACCCTGCTCAAGTCCCCGCCCTCTATAGTGGCCTCGAGAAGTCGGACGACATAGATGTCGAGGATATCCTGTTTGAGCGACTGTCGCAACCTGGCGGCGCCGAGGCTGCCCCCGATCTCGCCGAGAGCCAAGGCGTCCGTGATGACCATTACATGACCGAGTCGGGAATCCAGGTCGTTCCCTGGGAGCACGTAGCCGGCTTTCCATCCCGTGATCTTGCTGGCATCTTGACCCCCGCTAGGTCCTATCATAAGAAGCTCTTCCAGCTTTCTCTTGATCCACTGCTCTGTCTCTCTTATCCCATCCATGTACCTGAAAACGGGAAGTGGAAGAAGACAAAAAAGACCAACAAGGCAAAGACCAACAAGGATGCTGACGAGGGCATTGCACCAGACGAGCCCAACCCCCTCCCCACAATCAAAACAGAGCCATATAAAGAAAAGGCCAAAGACGGCAAGAAAGATGAGGCAGACGAAGAGAAGCGCAGCTCCATGACCATGTTCAATCTTGTCTTCTTCCTCAACCCCCAGAAACACGAAACCAAGGAGCTCATCGACTCTTTGTATTCTAATATTGTGAAAAAAGTCAACAAAGCATATCGGTACAGCCAGCAGCATAGTGAGTTTGTATGGAAAGAGTCTAAGCGTATCCTACTCGCAAAAGACAGGGCCCGTGAAGATCGTGAGTTTTTCCCAGTCAAAGAGACAGGCCATCAAGCCGCCAAACAGGCAGGGGAAAAAAGACTGACAAAGCTAATTGTTGAATTATATAGAGAAGAAGATGAGCGTTTTATGGAAAGAACTTATCCAAAACTCTTCACTGGCAGCTTCCATGTGTGAAATTTACAACGCCATCTCTCAAAACAGGATTGCAACTTTGCATCTCGATACTGTGGACGGCATCCTGACGCCCTCAGTTCAGATTCCGGCGCCCTTTTTCGTTTCGGATCTCCCCGCAGAAGACGATGAGAGGCATCGTGGCCTCTGGCTCACAACATCGAATGCTTTCTTGAGCCAGGACGCACTTGAGGAACCCGGATTCCTGGACCGGAACTTTGCGCTCTTACTCATGGATGATGAGAAGAAGATTGTCTCGGAGCTACAGAGTGACCGCGATCCCACCACCCAATCCATGATTGAGTTTGTTCGCCTCTCAAAACCGACAATGTCGTCAGTCTTTCCTGCTTCTTACCTTGTTCATTTGTGTCCATGATTCACTTCGCTAACTTGATCGCGTCTCCTGTCGAAGCTTCTACCAAGTTGGCCAGAGCAACCTCCTCACTCTAGATCAGGTCCGCAAGTACGCCCAGCACTTCATCTTCTGGCGCCGTGCCATGGCCATTCCACCCCTTCACCCCCGAGACGTGTACATCGTCTCTCCCAACTGTGACTTGGAGAACCTACCACAGGATGCCCAAGACTGGCAGAGAGCCTTCCCCCTGGCTCCGCCTCTGTCGACTTTCCTTGCCGAGCTCTCCGTGCTGCCCCGGCCCTACAAACACATCTCGCCTAGTAAAGCTCACCGGCCGCTGTACCTGCGCATGCTGGCCTGGCTGATGCGCGGTGGCTGGGTCACTCAGCTCTGCACTTTCGGCTACGTCGTTGTATGGCCGGAGATCCTATACGAGGTCGACTACGAGATCGAGGCGGAAGAACTCGGCCTCGCCACCTCCTCCTCAACCGACTGGGCCGATGCGACCAGCATCCACACCACCCAGAGCAACAGCAACGTCGACGCGCAATCCACCAACTCCTCACTTACGCCGCCGCCGCCTCCGCCGCAACCGCAACAGGCCCAGCAGCCGCAGGGATCGCAGTCGCAGTCGCAGCCTCAGCCTCAGCCTCAGGCTCAAGCACCCCCAAACGTCCCCAACCCATCCACCCTCTCCGCAGCCGAGCACTCGGCCGAAATGGCCCGTCTCGAGCGCATCGCCATGAAGGCCCACCGAGAAGCCGCCGACAAGGCCACCGCCCACGCCCGCAAGGTCGTCCCCGTCGCGACGAAAAACCCGTCCCTCAACGATGCGCCGCACCTCGTCGGCCTCACGCCGCACATCATCCTCGACCCCAAGAAGGCGGCGGGCAAAGAGTCGCGCTACCTCTCCGCCATTGCGCGGCGGTTCAAGGACGAGAAGCTGCGGTCGGCGTGGCAGAACATGTGCAAGTATTTTGATGGGCGGTGTGCCCTTGAGCGCATCGCTCTGCAGGAGGACATGAAGCGCAAAGAGGCGTGGGCTTTGTTAACGGCCATGAGGGAGTATCTACTATGTACAAGACACTGGTGAATAGAGAAAACGATGACTGGTAATGATTCATCATACGTGTTGAAAGCCAAGGCACAGTTTTAATAGCAAAGATTCATCTCGGCAGTTTATTGGTCATAAGTGGTATCTGAAATAGTAGGGGGGAAAAAAGCAAAGGAGCCACAGGATATAAAGAAATGTCGATAGGTTAAGATTAAGTACGCGGATATAAAACTGTAACCCTCCACAAAGCCAACACAAGACCAGAAAGGAAAAGAAGAAGAAGAAGAAGAAGAGGCGTAAAGCAAATAGCTGTGTATCAGCAGTGATAACAAAAAGTCCCGTTATCCCACAGAGGGAGGCCGAAGCCGAGATTGCTACCTAGGTAATAAAGGAAAAAAGAAAAAAATAGATAAATGAGAAAACCATACCAGTCGTAGGGCATCTCACACTATGAGAGCCCTCTGTATCGTCCCTGCCCAAGCAAACCAACAAATGCATATCTCATAACGGGTTGTAGTATCAATAGAGCGCTTGACAGCTGTAAAAGGAAATCGATGGGGAGGAAAAGAGACCAAGCCAGAGAGAGGCATAGAGTCTCCTCCGTCCGTGTGTATGAGAAACCGGGGGGGAAAGCAAGCAAGAGAGACGCATAGTCCCTTTTGTGCTGTCATGCAGTAGTATATGAAATAAAACAGAACAGAGAGAGATGAAAGATGAAACAAGAAAACATGACCCATCCTATATAAAAGCCATGCCCAATGCCGATGCCTGTAGCACGCACCCTATCACTCATAAAGACGAGGCCCTGCCGATGTAATAGTTTGACACCTAGAACGCCGCCAGTACGGGCACTCGGACATGTTCCTCTTAGTATGCCAGAGCCACACGTATTTCCTCTCCAAGACGATTACTGCTAGATATCTAGCAAAACATCGTCAGATGGGCCGTAAAAAGATGCGAAGTCACAAATAGAGAAGAACCAGAAGGAAAAAAGACCCAGAAGGAAAAAAGAGCCAGAATGATAAAGAACCGAAAATAGAAGGAGAGTAGACAGGAATGGAGGGACGGTTTTGCGAATAGGCAGACAGAGATATGCTCGACCAAAAGAGAACAATCCCCGACATGAATATTCGCATGCGAAAACACCAGCAAGGTAGCTACTGTGTGAGGTCCATATCATATTCATCCTCTTCCTTGAAGTTGAGATTGGCATCATCATCGGGGTCATGCCAGAATTGTGCGGCATCTCCGAGATCACCGGGCAGTCCACCATGACCACTTCCCTCCGGAGTGATACCAACAGAGTCAAGGTTGCCGCTCATGCCGTTGGTGGGTTCGCCGCGGTAGTCAGTGTGGTGAGGTACGCGAAGGCCAGAACCAGAGGTGCGCGTGTAGGTAAACGATCCCGAGTCGTTTCGAGAAATAGCATCCATGAGCTCAGACTGCATCCGGCGCTCATCATCGGTTGACTCAAAGGGTATTGTGCCGCCCAATTCGGCAATGTGGTTGATCAGTTCTTCCTGCTGCTGCAATTTGAGATGCAGCATCCACATCAAATCTCGCGTCCAGCTGACGGCGCCGTTGAGAATGTCACCCTTGTTTGGGCCTTTGTCCTTGTCCTCAATCGGCAGGCCGGTTGTAATGTTTCCAGCTCCAGCGCCGGCGGCTCTCCGGGCACCAGGCCCGGCCAAACCAGATGTAGCACTAGAAACGCCAGTGAGGGTGGGCGACAAGGGTGTGCCATTGGAAATCAGCTTGCGAATCTTCTCGTCCTCCAATCTATGCGTGGGAACAAGTCTGCTGAGGTCCTGGATTCTCTCATTGATGTTGTCACGGCGGCGGCGCTCAACGAGATTGTGCGACTCGCGACGACGCTTCCGCTTCATCTCTTGGGTAGACATGGCATTTCCCACGCCAAGCTTGGCAGGCATAGAGGTGCCTCCCTTCATCATGACTTCGTTAATTTGCACCATGCCTGGTTGCATGGGAGAGGAAAAGCCAGAATTGAAGGAGGCGGGGATGCTTCCGTTGGGGGTGTTGAGCCAGTGACCGGATGGTGACTTGTCATTCCGGAGAGACTGAGGGCCGAAGCCAGGAGAGTCTTGGCCGATGGGAATGCTGTGCATGCTGTTGGTCTTGGGAGTCATCGGGCTCCTGGTGTTGGAGGCTTTCCGTTGCATCTGCTGGGACATGCGGGCTCTTGCCTTGGCATTGAGGAAGTTGGGATCGTTTCCGTCTGCCATGTCGGCGGCGGCCAGGGGAGATTGAGAGTAGGACAATGGTGACTGCAGAGGGTTACCGAGAGCACGGTAGTGTGCATTGTAAGCATATGGGCTCTGGATAGGATCACCATCTGGGGTGCTGGAGTAGCCGTTGATCTGCGACGGGTCGATTTGGATTCCAGAACCGCGGTGTGACTGAAAGGTGTTTTGGTAACCCATGTTCATGCCGTGGAAATCTTGGCCCTGGCCATGAAGGCCAGACTGTCCATCGGAAGGGAGGCCATCTAGCAGCTCGTCATCGCCGAATACGGCCGAGCCACTCGAGAAGCCGTTTGTGTTGGAGTTTGTGTTGAAGTTGTTGTTGGCAAAGGACGGGGAATATCCGCCCGACATGGCCAGGTCGTTGGGGTCGATGTGGCCGGCAGTCGGGCCAGACCCGAACTGGGTGAAGCCGTGTTGGGCCATTGCAGAAGAGGGTCGGGATTTCAATCGATGCAAGAGGCTCGCAGTTGGTCGGCAACCGATGAGTCGAGAGCGCTTTGATTTGCTTTGTTTGGGGTCGCGGGCGCTTTTTCACAACTCTCTGGGGGTTGCTGAACGGGGCAACGGGGAAAGCGGCCTCGGAATTTCGAGGATCGGCAAGTCCCGCCTGAAGGGGGAGCGGTTCGTGGCTATAGCGAAACAATAGGGAGAGAAGAGTCAGTGAAGGTGCGCACAAAAAAGGATTGCTCAGCTGTGCGCGACAAGACAAAAGCTGATCAAATAGCCGGCGGCAACGACGGAGCCTGTTGGCCTGACGTGGCGCAACCGGTCGGAGAGAGAAATGGAGGGACCGGAAGACCAAGTGCGTAGGAGGGGCTGACAAAAAGAGAGACTAACTTGACACAAAAAAGGGCACGGTCGACCCTGCGTTGCTGGTAAATGTTCGATTGTTGCAAACTTTGGAATCGAAAAGCAAAGAGGCGAGAGGCGATTAAGCGATCAGAAAGCGTGGGTGAGAGTTGAAGGTTGTGGTTGTCAAGATGCGAAGTTCGGAGGGGTTTGGAGACGATTGCTTTTTGTGAGCCCAAGGGCCGAAGTCGTCTCGGCAATGCCAAGTGCGTTTAAAAAAAAATATAAAAAAATAAATAGTGGCAGGGTGCAAGCAGCCGGCCGATGGGAGGGGCGGAAATGGCGGGCTGTCGTGTAACTGGGGTGCAGGCGGTGACGGGCGCTTGGGAATCCGCAATATGCGCAGTAAGAATCCGTCAGAAACCGCGGGATGCGATGACGATGTGGAGAGCTGATGAGCGAAGATGCGAGGTCGCGAGATGGGATGAATCTCTATAGATGAGCCCTGCACTGCGCGCTTTATTATTATTAGCTTGTCGGGGGTCCAAAGCGCAGTCGCTGTACTCGTATGTACTCGTATGGATGGGTGGGGGGGGGAGGTGGTGAGGGTGAGGGGAAGAAGAATGGGCCAAGACGATCTGCTCACTGCGGGTGCAGGGCTGGGTATGATTGTTTCTTCTTTCTTGCCCTCTCGTGAGGGGCGTTGCAGCGAGTCTAGATGCAATGCCACCTGCGCGGGGGAGAAGGTGAGGGAGGGGGGAAATCGAGAGGGAGGGATGCAACAAGGGAGATGGAGGAGGCACAGAGTCGCTTCTACTCACCAAAAGTAGTCGGTCGGTTGCCTGTAAGTTGAGACGTGGCAGCAGGCAGAAGAGAGCTGGGTGGATTATGGTGCGTGTATCGTATGTATTTGACACGATACTCGTACACGGGCAACAGACGGTCTTTTGGCCGTTTTGACAGATCCTTGAACGCTTTATGCCTATTTGTTCATAAAGCATGCATGTAATATGTCTGTCGATGTTCCGTAGCTGCGGTAGGATGGCCTTGGCGGCGTCTGGTCTGGTAAGCGGGCTGCCAAACCCTGCGTGCCGCGTTGCACAATGACGAAAGGGCGAGACCTTGTTGCTGGGTCGCTGCGACGGCCCACAGTCCCCAAATAGATGTAGATGAGGCTAGAACCCTCAAAAGCAACAAAGACGGGGAGGAGGGAGACGACTCGGTGCGCCGGAGGCTGGGAGGCGCGCGGACACTAGCGGTGATGGTCGAGGACGAGGACGGCAGCGAGGAAAAGATGACGGCGAGACGTTTTGCTGGCCGCAGGTACGTAAATCGGAATGTTGAATATCGCCAGGATAGGGCGGCTAGTTTAGTAGTACTTAGGCAATGCACATATGCGCGTATATGCGTCCTCTATGCTGTGCAGGAGATGTTGCGTGGCGTGGTGTTGAGCCGCTGCTTGATGTGAGTGGCCGCAACAGGGAAACGTATGGACGGTGGGTAGTGGGTAGTGGGTAGTGGGCACGCACGCAAACAAGTTGAACAGAGATCAAAAAGGCTCCGGTGCTTTTTTTTGCGGTGGGACGAGACACTCAAATATTGGAATTCTGGCCCTTTTCTCTCTCTCTTGTACTCCGTCGCAGAGGTGGTATCCTCCCGCTGTCTGGTGGGGGAGGGGGGAGTGGGATAGTGAGATCTTTTCGCTTTTTGCCTTTTGCAGCGGTTAGCAATCCCCCCTGCTAGTGCATATAGACTAGACGCCAAAGACGCACGACTTCTCGGATCTGTCTCTAGTGATCTCTTCTGACCCAGCGAGCTGAAGCCGATGGTCGCGTCGTATCGTACTGATCGAATATTGCCTGGGCTGGGATGAAGGAAGAGCAGTAGCGGCAATAGCGCTCTGTATTATTGGCGTCTCTGGCTGTTGGATGGCTGCCAACGATGGGCAGAAAGCAAGTCTTGTCCAAGTGGCGCCCGGTGCTGGTGGTGGTGCCCGCGATATGCTGATAGGCCGCGGCGGTGGTGTCAAGACGCTGGAGCGCCCTTTGCGGTGTTATTCTATTGTTTTCAGGTTCCTTTCCTGTTTAAACTCTGTCGCCTGCAGCCTTACTTGCTCGCATGCAACCACGTCGTCGGCGAATGAGGACGAGGCGTAGGACTGGATTATGCCCGATGGAGAAGCCTAGCTGATGACGATCCAGAGGGCAGACAAAGCAGGCAGTCAGTCAATCACGCCTGTTAGTCCCGATATCTCTAGCCCTTCCTTCGGGTCGCTCTCGATGCCGCTTTTCGATGGACCGACCGGTGGTGTCCCAGATATGGCCTAGCAGTGTCTACTGTCTGTTGTTGCGCCGACTCTTGAACTTGACCAAGTGCTCGTACATGCATACACATATGCAAGTGCTTATACATAAATGTACGTTGGAGATGGACGAAAGCTTGCGAGGTGGCGTTGGTATTTGCCTGTCGGTTGGCTGAGGCGGACGAATCGGGCCGTGCGGGCTCTCTTATGTATGAAAGTTGAGGACCTCGGGAGGTACTAGATGAGGTAGGGGTTGCAGCTGGATGCAAAGTGCGTCGTATTAGTGCTTTTGTCTGAGAGCAAGGGAAGCAGAGCAGAGACAAAAGCAGCTGATGGGGCAGCTCGGATGGATGCACGATGATGCAGAATACGGATCATTCCAAATCTCTCCTCGAGAGCTCGGCAGCAAGGTACCCGGCCTCACGTTTTATAATCGCTGGCGGTAGCTAAAAATACCGGATCTCCAGTACGAGAAATCTTTGATGCCTTTCTCGTCTTCTGACTTGCGCAACAAATGGTTGGTCCGCTCTCATCCAGCTACCACACCCACGTTACTACGAAAGAGGGAGGGGGGAGGCAGAGAAACCAGGATGAGCGTGACTCGATACCGTTAAGACATAAAACGCCATCCTCGCTATAAACTTGGGAGGGGCTCCCCATCGCCGGGCGTTATGAACCATCGTAGCTGTCTCTCATGGTCATGCGTTCCTAATTTTCCGTGAACCATCTACCGTCTTGGCCACGCGGTCATGTAAGGCACCGGTTCCAAAGGTCAGCCACGATGGCGATGACGATGACGACTCTGGAAGCCCTGCTTCTTCTCCTTTCTCCTGTATTCTCCAGGCTCCGCTACATCGTGGCGATGCTACGCGCGTTGGTCAAGCTGAAGGCATGGAGGTAGCTAGGCAGATCAGGTCAGGTCAGGTCAGGCACGGATTGCAATGGGTGTGGTGTACACGGAACACGGAGTACGGAATACGGGAGCAACAGAGCCGCGACCAACTCACTTAGACCGTCGTTCGGCTCGCCCAACCACACAGACGCAGTTCGTGTCAAGAAAAAGTCGGTCAGTCCGTCCAAAGCAGAAACAAAGAGTTCTGGCGTCGCGGAATGCTGAATGTCTCCCCCACACATTGCCATACGAACACCACCAACCCGCATGCAGTCGCCGTTGCACCAGGACAAGGAGGACAGACTGGAACTGGCGATGACGTTGGTTGCTGCTTATCGCTATCGTCTTATCCTTGCCAAGGTGAGCGGCACTAGCAGCGGCATCTCTCACCTTGGGGGGGGGCCCTTTTAGAGCTCAAGCTCACTGAACCCCAGCGGTGCTACCACCCCAGAATAGCACCGGCCCAGTGCTGCCAATCATGTGCCCCCCTCCAACGACGTATCGATTCTTATCCCACACCCCTTGAATCTGGCCTGAACCTCCACCCGTCAAACATCTTCGTTCCCGTTGCCAGATTCCCCATCTTCGACCTCGTCCATCGCTTCGACGTCTCCGACCTGCCCCCCACCAGCCCGTGCCGCCCGTTTTCTTGCCGCCGTCGCCATCTCTCCCGACGCGGCCGTTGCCTCGTGCCCGCCTGTCGCCCGCGATAGTCGAAGCTGGTAGGCCTTCTCTCTGCCCCATCCCTCCATCCCTCCATCTTGGTCCTCGACCTTGCTCTAAGCCACACCCTGCGCTTCTATACATATCTGATCATGCCCCCCGACTGACCATGTCCACAGTGGAGCTAGCAGCTTCCACGCTCTTAGGGCTGTCATCTATCAATCGCTGACTGCGAGAAGGCGACGCCCCTCCTCTTCTCCCTCGGCCGTTTTACCTCGAAGCTCTGCCGCGTCGATCGGGGGCTCACCCACAGCTGCTGTCGAGCTTGGCGATTGGATCCCCGACATAAGCCATGGCTTCCAACAGTTTTCGAGACTCCATCAACTCCCTGGGCTGGAGCCGGCGACAGGAGGCGCCCATCACGACGTCTCAGCAGTCATCCGGCCTCCTGTCTTCTCTGCAGAATCTGAACCCTTTCCAGGATCGCGGATACACTGTCCTTCCCACCTCAGAAGGTCCAGGAGCACCACTGCCGGCACCCACTCGGCGTGAGGAGGAGGAAGGCTGGTTTGTGCGTGAGTCAACCTGGACATTGTCCCATCACCTTTATTGCGGCCCCCCATTCTCCCCCCCCTCCTGCAGACGAAACATGTGCATCTCGCAGCTCTAGCTCGCACCTTGGATGCTGCATGTGATGCAGATGCAACGCCTCGTGGCCGGAAGTAGCTAACATGGAGTGTAGTAAGTCGATGGGACCGCATGCTGGTATTCGCCTTTTGCAATCTGGCTGCCGCTGCCTGTTTCGTCATCTGCTTCACCCTGTTCCCTGTCCTTTCTCTGAGACCACGCAAATTTGTGATATTGTAAGTCTTTGATGACGTCGCTGCCTCTTTCCTTGCGCAAAGCTCTTCACACCCCCTTTTCATCGATGCCCTGGCCCCCTTCTTCCCCAACAATCCAGCCTTGACACCTGTCACACCCGTGTAGACAAGCATGCACGCAATATATGCCTAGCCGGAATTCTCGGTAGACGGTATTGCATCGATTGCCTGCATGCGTCTCTACCTGCCGAGACCAATTACCCATGTAGCTGCACAGCGCTAATCCCCCACTTAGATGGACAGTCGGTTCGGCGCTCTTCCTGGCGTCCTTTGCTGCCATTATGGGCCCAATGAACTACGTCTACCACCTGTTCTCGGCTCCGAGACTGCCATTTACCGCTGCCTACTTTGGCTCCATCACATTGACGTTGGTGTTCTCTATCAAGGTATGTCAAAGCCCCGCGAGAGGAGAGGAGGGGGAGGAGGGGAATGTGCCGCGTAATCAGAAACAAAGCCTGCTAACATGACGAAGCTTCATAGCACTATCCTCACCCTCTTTGCCGCCCTGGTTCAACTCGCCGCATTGCTTTGGTATCTTGTCAGTTATTTCCCAATGGGCTCCACGGGATTGCGCTTGGCTACTTCTTTCGGCGCAAGGCAGGCCACCGCGTGGCTGTCGGGGTGAGTCTTGGACAAGACGTATTGGCAGGCAGGATCTCCCCGCTAGTGCTCGAGCTTGACACCTGATGCTCTTTTGAGTATGGCTCTTGTTTTGTAATGTATTGTGGATATATGTATTATGTGAAGCCTGGAGTTTCGAAGCACGTCGGCAATAGTATCTGGCGTCTGGGTTGTAGTCCCGTGTAGCGATAGGAATGAATCCACTCAAAAACATGCCTCTCAGAAGCATGTCTATCACTTATTGCCGAAGTTCCCCATCCATCCGTATGCATAATCAACCAGTTACCTTTGCGCGGTGCTAATGCACAATCTCTCCGGACATTAACTAACAGACACGGCACATCTCATCCACGTGCCGGAAACACAGGCATAGACTGGGAAATGCAGAGCGGGCAAGAGGTCACCTGCCATGCCAGGGGTTGTCGACATAGATTAATCGGGGGAAGAGACGAGTCTGATTGGCTCTTTTGAAGGTCGACAGGACTCTGTGCTCCGTACCACCAATATCTACCTTATTGATGCGTCCATGGTGACCATCATGCTTGGAGCCTGCCAGGTACTAATCCACTAAGGTAGGTGCTACCTACTATAGGTACTAGTAGTTTTGAATAGAGACGATCCGGAGTAGATGCAGATCACGACATCTAGAACAAAGGATTTGCACTCTGTCCAAGTGAGCAGTAAAAAACCAGCAGAGATTTGCATTGTCAGTCACGGGTAACGCTGGTGCGGTATTGCAGGGTACTCCGGAACACCGCACCTCCGGTATACCTTAGTAGGTACAGGTACCTTGGTACCCTTGGAGGTATGTAGCGCTACTTTGCGCTGCGCAGCCCATTTCAAGCCACCACAGTCCAAAAGCAAACAATGACAACCGGAGAAGCATTTCCGGTGCCCAGTTGGCCGTAAATGCCTACGAGTGAGTATGTAGCAAGCGGCTGGGTTAATATCGGGTATGCAAAGTGCTTGGCGCGGAAGACGGAAATGGGGAATCAAAATTGCTCTCCAGTTGCGTTTTCTGTGTACTACCTGTAGTACTCGCAAGGGCGGGCTGGCTGGACTGAGACAGAGGCCTCGGCAAAGATGACGATGACTCTTAGCAGTCGCACCACGCTGCGGAGTATTTGCTACAAAGTACATCCTCATGTCACCAACTCTTCTCCTTTGGGTGCTACGTGCAAAATCCCGCTACCCTGCCGTGGGTTACTCGTACATGAGAGATTTTCATTACAAGTAAATACTACTCGTATTGACAGAGCTCCCCTCATCGCCAGTCGCACTCGGCGCAGGTGCAGGCACAGGCACAAAAAATGTTGCCCACCGGGTCCTTTATCGCGGGTATCGCTTGTCGATAAGGGCGATAAATGATAGTGATAGAAGGATAAGTGATAAAGTGATAAAGCGCGACGCGACGCAGCAAGTCATGACAGCGCGGCCGATCTCCCGGCACGCAGCCTGCTGATCACGAAGCGAAATGAGAAAAAGCAGGACAAGGCCAGTGATTATGCACGGCCGCAAAGACTGAAGCCTCGCAGCCGGGCTGCCAATAGGATGCCCGATAATTATAGCGGCGGATCGCATCCTGACAACGCATTCCGGAAGTGCCCCAAAATGCTGGCGCCGCACCACAGCGTCTCTCTGCCTTAGGTACAACCTCACGCACCTTGTTTGCGCATGTACATGGACAAATCAGGGCCGCACACAGGTTTTCGAATGACTCCGCACTAAATTGTGCATGTCTCACGCCGCCGGGCTCTGCAATTCCAATTCGCTATTCGCTGCCAGGCCTGCGTGTACGGTAGTTCGTATCCGAACAAAAGCAACGAAGCAGGCGGCGTGGGAACGAAACAAGGGGCCATGAATAGACGGACAAACAGAGCCTGAGCCTTAAAGCTTACCCGCCGCCTACTACTTAAGCAGGAGTCATCAAATTGAGCATTCTATTGAGTCCTTGGATTCCCCCGGTAGTCCGGTACTTGAAAAAGCCACCGATTCGACTTGAGCAACGCTCGGGCTGCCTCTCTCAAACACCAGACACCGACTCGACCCGACATTCGGCTTACAAGCCATATTCGCGCATTTTCCATCACTCCACCTGCAGCGAACGATTTTCCATTATCCAAGTGTGGGCCGCGGAAGCCCCAGCAGAGCAGCGTTGCCCTCGGCCAGGCAACTCGAATTGAGTGCATCAGCTTCACGAGCAAGGCTTTGATTTTCATTACTACTACTATTATCATCATCATCATCCCATCCATTGTTATTTTAAACCCCTGCTTACTTTTTTTTCCTTCTTACCCTCCCTCACCCCCGTTCTCACGCACAAGGCTCAAGGCCCTGGAAGCCCGCCCTACTTACCTACTAGTTTGGGACCAGCAGCGCTGTAAGAGCGTGCTTCCATAGGCCCGCTGGGGGCCAACTGCACTCCGTAATCCAGCGCCCATTCGCTCGCTGGGGACCGCTGTAACTTAAGCCGCCCAGCCGCTCCGCTTTCAGGACGCTGTCCTGGGCCCCAAAAAACCCGCCAAACCCGCCAAACCCGTTCTAGGCGCCCTATCGTCTAAGAAGAGAGGGGAACCAAAAAAAAAAAAAATTTATTATTCTGGCACACAAAGCAAAAAAATTATCAACTGGCCTCTTTCGTTTGCCCTTTGTGCCCTCTTCATCTTTTTCACCACCACCTTTGACCAGTCAATTCTCAAGAATTGCCGCGCCGGCTGGCATTTGTTTGACCGTTTCCTGACAGGCTGCGCTGCGACCTGTTGAGGAGCGCAGCTGGTTTTTTTCCTCCTTCATCTTTTCCTTCCTCTGCCCTGCATTGCCCGCGTGCCACTGCGCAACAGTTATTTTCCTCCTGCACCCCGGCCACCTTCGACCCTCAGCCCGGCAGCCTGTTGTCACCTCTCCCTTTGCCTGACTTGGCTGACGCTGTTGCTCGGCCTGCTTCTCTGTCCTTCCACCCGTACGTGTACGTGCGACGCCTGGAGGCTCTGAGTGTGCGACAGCCACCGCCTTGAGCTTGAGGCGCCTTTTGCCGACCGGCCGCATTGCCTTTTCGACCGGTTAATAGTTTCGGGCCCCTCCGCCACCTACCGACGTGATCTTGATCCCTTTGCCTGGGCTCGAGAGACGACCGTCCCGCTTTACAGCTACGGATTCTACGCACTCGCTTCTCCTCCCGAGAAGCATTCCAAGAGAAAGAAATCGACTGCCTCGAGGTCCTCTAGCAGGATTTCCGTGTCTGGTGCCTCTTTAGCGTTATCCCATACGCCAAAGAAAAAAACTCTCTGGAACTTTCCACCTTCAGAGGAATACCTTAAACTTTCCCACTGCGAGGTGCGACTTTGAAACTTTGGGCCGGCATATCACGCCTTTAGTGTTTACCAAAGACATCACTTTCGCTGCCGCATCATTTCTTTCTCTTCTTCTTCACCATCCCCCCTTTACGGTTCCATCAAAAATGGCAACCGCTTCAGCTTTTTCTTATGCGCAGGCCGCCAAGGGCCAGGGCACCGTGCCATCAAATGCCTTGCCTGGGCAGCCCGTCCAGGACTCCCAGCCACCCGCAGCCGCGCCCAAGTCTACCGCGGACGCCGAACATGCGACCGAATCCAATGGTGCCGTCCAAAGCGCCGACTCTTCCGCCAACACGGAGAAGCAGGATGCTGTCAGCAACACTGGTTCTGAGGTTGAGGCCCGATCAGAGGAGGTCCAGGAGACGCGCCGCGAGCCCCCACGGGATGACGAGTCTGGCAGATTAGATCGCCCCTGGCGACGAGGCGACAAAGGCACGAGGTCTTCGAGTACGACCACGCGATCGGTCGACGAACAAGATGCCAGAAGGCCGCGGAAGTCTAAGAAGTCAAAGGCTGCAGAAAAGCAAGCCAACGAGCAATCAGCAACGGACAAGGACCAGGAGTCTGAAAAAGAGGTTCCCAAGGTCGAACTGTTTGAGGCACCCATCCCATCCGTCAATATCTGGCGGCAGCGAGCGGAAGCTCAGGCAAAGGTCAAGCCGTCTCCAGTTGGCTCTGCAGAGCAGACAACCAATGGCTCACCGAAGCCTGACGTGTCCTCCAAGGTGGCTGAGAACGGTGTTCCAGCTGCTACCCAGCGTGATAGCATACCAAATGGCGTCAAGCCCCCTCGCAAAGCGGTCGATGCCTCTCGATCCGAGAGAAATGCCAGCCGTGGTTCAAGAGTAGCGGACAAAGACGCTGGCAGTGTGCCCCCTTCAGTCGCCGATACCACGGCCTGGCCCACCCCGGAGACGGCCATCCAAGAAGAGAAGAAGAAGCCCGCAGAGAAGTCTGATCGTCCCGAGAAGGATGCCTCAGAGGACGGATCCCAGTTGAAGCCGAGACAAAAGGGAAAATGGGTGACTATGGATTACGTGCCGAGCGTCAACTTTGAAACGCAGCTTCCTCAGATGCGCAACTCTAAGCCTCGAGGTGGAGCCAGAAACACAAATGGCTCAAGGGCTACACCATCCCACGCCAGTGACAAAGGCACCGCTCCCGTCGCCAGCCAGGGCAAGCCCAGTGAGAACACCGGCAGCGGTAACAGCAACGGCAGCAGCAAGGATCGCCCTCGGGATGGTGCCAACGGCCCGAACCGCGGTGCGCCAGCGCCCCAAACTAAGCGTTCATCGACAGATATGTCAAACGCACGTGAACAAAGGAAAGCAGCGAACCACGCTGGCGGCGAGAAGAACAAGGATGCTACATCAAATTCGAATGTAAGTGATTTCTCGATCAATACAATTGCAGCTGAGAAGGGGGTGGTGGAAGGGGGGACACTCCCATACCAACCTCACCGCCAATTTTTTTTTTGGAATGATGTGCTAACACTCTTGTTCAAGGAGCAGGGCCATGCTGTCCGTGAGCGAACGGAGAACCGCAATGACAGACCACGAGGTGCATACCGCGGCCGTGGCGGACATCATCCTGTCAACACCCAGCATCAGCACCAACATACCGCATCCAGCTTCTCTGCATCGGGCGCCATGGGCGGACGAGCCCAAGGCCCCTACAGCCCACCACTCAGGCAGGGTGGCCATGGTCAGATGTTCATACCATCTCAAAGGGGTGGCAGAGGCGGCCGCAACAACGGCGGAAACTTCCACCGGATGTCTCTGCCCAATGGATCAGCACGCATTCCTCAGGTTCAAACTCAGTTTGGGCCCTACGAGTATCCCATAGCGCCGATGGCGGCAATGCCCTTCCAGCCTCAGCCCTACTGGGACAACATGTTGGTGCCAGTACTGAAGAGCCAGGTTGAGTACTACTTCTCCATCGAGAACTTGTGCAAGGACGTCTATCTCCGCGCACGGATGGACTCGCAGGGTTTCGTGCCCTTGCACTTCATTGCCTCCTTTAAGCGTGTGCGAGAGCTGTCTGCCGATATCGCCATGGTCCGTGCTGTTTGTGAGATCTCCACCGAACTCGATCTCGCTGTTGGTGAAGATGACATTGAACGCGTGCGACGAAGTCAGGCATGGGAAAGCTTCGTGTTGCCTCTTGAGGACCGGGATGAGTTTGCTCGAAACCACGGACCCGCCCACCTCACTTTCAAGAACCGACCATCGCAAATGCCACCACAGTTTAACGGAATGCCTGTACCGTACGGCATGGCATCGCCCCCTGCGTATGCAGCCCACGCCGAGGCCCCGTTCCAGCAACTGCCCGATGATGTTCTCATTGGCCAGGGAGTCAACGGTCTAGCAAACGGCCATGTCAATGGCGTCAGTCAGCTGTCGGCGGATGTGCCCGATTTTGCTCCCTCGGGTGCTCTCGACGGCTTTGCCAAGACTAACGGCCCAGTTGCCGTGAATGGGCATGCTGAGAAGCCCCTTGACAGCACGTTGCCTAACGGAGTACACAACGAGCAACCAGTGTAGCGGGATCTTTGATCCTAAGCTGGTCATGCAGCGGCGGTACTGACTCCTGGCCATTTGGGAGTTTCTCTCGTCTGTGGTGCCTGGGCCAACAGCCCTAGAGGCCCTTCCTGCATATTTGTTTCTAGAGGTTGGCTGGACGGCCCAGAAAGCTTGTCATGGCAATTCATTGGCCGGTTCAAGTGAAAACGCATTTTACCATTCTTATTTTTTCTTTCGTCACAGTTCTGCCTAGCTATTCTTGGCTAAGGCTCGGCAAGGGAAACGGCAAAACAAAAAAAGCGTTGCAACAAACTGTGAATTATTTAAGGATTTTTGGTTTTGTAAGATTCATTTCTTTGCCCTTTGATTGTCTACCTATGCGCGGATGAAGGCGGCAGACGACGGAGACGGGGCGTTTCGCTACTCTAGGAGGGCACAACCAAAAAAGGGGGAGAAAGATACCCCTGGAAATTTCTGTTTTTTATTTTTGGGTCCGGAACCTGTAACGCAGCAAAAGCGTTTGGCACTCTGGTTTGGGATTTCCTTTCTGAAGAAGAAAAGAGAAGAAGAAAGAAGAGAAAAAAAGATTGACAAATGGGAAAGACATAGGAGAAGAGGAAAAGGGAAAAAAAGTTTGCGAGTAGGAAATAGAGCCAGTGCTCGAGGGCGCTGGCATTGGAGACCTTGTGTTCATATGGAGGTCTTTTCCTCTTGGCTGGGCAACCATCATTACTCTGACGTGGTTTTCGGTAGAGAGTGGATGAGAGATTTCACACACTTCTGGGGCTCAGGAGACGAATATTATTCACGGCAGGACTTGGATTGGAAAGGCATACCTGGTCTTGCAACCTGTTGGGATCTCGGAAGGCTTATGAAAAGGGCTGTTCCTGTTTTCACACTCCTGAGCATTAGTTCACGTTTGCTCCAGCTACCCCATGCTATTGATGAGAAACGCAAAGGGCTTCCGTTACGATCTTTTTTATTATCATTATTATCATTTTTTTGCTAGACAAATGACGGGATTTGGGCTGCCCAGAAAAAAAAAAGAGGAAAAAACGAGAGAATGAAAGATGATGGGCAAAACTTGCCCGAGGGCATTTAAATGGGATGCGAGATTGGCAAAATTGGGTTGCACAATGAGATTTTTTGATCATTTTTTTTTTTCCAAAACTTTCAATTTTTTTTTTCTTGAGTCCGTATTTTCGGAGGGTTGTTTTCAGGGCTGGATTGCCTATGGCATTTGACGCGAGACAGCGTGGTACGATGTTGCTGCAACACTGTTCAATTTGTACGATAGGATTCAAGAATAATACCAAAAAAAAAGTCAGTCGTCGGGTCTGAGAACAGACTCTCTCTCTCCTCTATTGGGGTATGGAGAAAACTGGTTGTCTGCGTCTAGTTACAGAAACAGTAGGTTTGTCCTGGTCTAAATGTAATAGGAAGGCTTACTCTCTCCTTGTTCTCTTATTTCTCCATTGAGTCTCTGTTTAGGGCTGACTTTGTATTTGCCGTTAGAGAAGGCGAAGGAAAGATTGTAGAATGAGTTGTGTGAATTGATGATACCATCCATAGACGCTCATAATGCCATGGCTAGGCCTACAATGGCGATGAGACCGACAGCGGCGTTGGCAAAGGCCGTTGGCACTGAGGCTGGATTAGACGTAGATGATGATGTTGCGGTGCGAGTTCCTGTTATTGTGGTGACAGAGGGAGAAGTGGACGAGACGAGTCGTTTCTCTGGGTGGTGTGCCGGTGCGGTTGATGTAGATGATGGGAATGCCGTAGGAGAAGCTAATGATGCGGAAGAGGGAGACGAATGAAATATGGATGAAGTAGATGGTATGAATGGTATAGGGTCAATATCTTCAAAAGGAATAGTAGTGGCTTCGACGGTTCTGGTGGTTTATAGTCAGAATGAGATCTAACGTGAAGTAAAGGGAGACGAAAGACATATTGCATCTTCAAGGTTGACACGACAGCAAAAAACAAAAAGGGGGGGGGGGGGGGGGACAGTAGCTTACGGTGATGAACTCGATGTACTTTCAACATCATCAAGATCCGACTCGCTCGGCGTGAGAATAACGAGTGGTCTGGGAATAATCAGGGCGGGATCATCGGCGAAGGCGGTAGGCTGGACGGGATTTGAGAAGTGGCGAGTCGCGGTTCTGCCAAAGAGAATGCATAATTCGTTAGTTTATACTCACTGAAGCTTTTTGGATTTATATATTGCAAAGGTGGAATTAATCTAGGGATAGTAGAGGACTTACATTGAGTGCTGCGCCAAGGCGAGAGAGCTTGTGGCGAGGACCACGGCGACGAAGCGATGCATGGCTTTAAAGCTGATATTTCTGATGGGATAGGGATATCAAGGTAGTTGAGTTACAGATTCGGTCATCTATAGAAACACATGAAGAAGAAGAAGAAGAAGAAGAAGAGGGAGAGGAGCTGGAAATGATGGTGAATTCTGTCGAGTTGAAACGTCGATGAAGCGTGTATGATTGGAATGTAGACAGTTGCCCAGGCCGAGCCTCGTCACATACGTCGTCACATAGCGGGTGGGCGGCTTGTACTTTTTTCTTTTCTTTTCATTTCTGGGCCCCATTTAATTTGATTATGCAGTTTTGTTACGTGGATAAAATAAAGTCATCAGGGCAAGGTTCTTTATATCTTCGGGATAACGAAGCGATACGATACCAGAGTAGCATTCGGCTGTTGGGTTTGGAGAATTGAGTGTTGTGGGATGCTTGCTGTTGTCACGGAGGTACGGCAGTGTCATGATAAGGTGCGAGTGGCGCTAAGCTGGAAAGGGGATATGGATATTGCATTGTAAAGCCGTTGTCTTGGTTGTATTTACGAGGCAAACGAATGCAGAGTAATACGATTAGGATGCTCTATTTCCACAATACACACTGGTCTATTTGATTGTAAATGCCATAAGAATTGGTAGCGATGACTAAATGCCTAAGATGAGGTTTATGATGGACGGTGCGATAGAAAATCTCCAATTGTTGGGGGATTTCTCTTTTCCCGTACGCCAGAGGCATGACATCATTCTCCAAAGAGGCCACCCCGCCATAAAGTGGCTTGAGCGACAGCCTCTGTTTCAACCAATCAATCCCGTCACGAGCCACATCCAGGGCGAATGAGGTCAAGTCACGGTGGCTGGGCGCGTGTGGCTAACGAAGTTGAAAAGGGCGGGTGAGGCCTCGGGAGCGAAGCGGGGTAGTGGCATGTGCTAGATTACCTGGTGGGCAATTGAGCAGAACAAGAGCGACAAGTACGAGTATGTAGCAAGGGGAGATGGGATTCTGTGCGAAAAGAGGCGCTCAGGTTCGGGCTCCGGCTGGATTGTGGCGTTGGCGCTTGTTCTAGGCGGCGGGTGGCCGTGGGTTCTCCCGCGAGGTTGTTGAGACGGCATGGCAACATGAAGGGAGATGCAGACTTTACAGAGACTTGGAAAAATGTCAGGCGATGTAATAAGTGTGCTTGTGTACGTGCATAGTAGGGGGGGTTGTGGTGAGATGAGCAACTAGAAGTCACCCGGTGTCCAAGACGGGCATGAGGCGACTCAGCTGGCTCTGGTTCAGTCGACCGACCGAAGCTTGACTAGACAGGCCAGGCCTAGAAGCGCTCCCTCGCCCTCTCTGTCTGGCTGCTGAGGCTGAATGTGAGCAGCAAAATGGCGAGTGGGAGGACATCGGAGCGCCCGAGTCTATGTGTGTGCGCGCGTGTGTTGGGAGACATGATGTTTGATCTTTGACAGCACAAATATTGAGCAGATGGCTGCTTCGTCGGTGAGTACCAAGGTCAAGAAACCGTTGCTGAATATCGCCTCAAGCGTTACGACCACAAAAATCTCAACCAACTGAACCATGAGGCGCAGCTGCTGAGCCACAGCCCTCTGTAATGCTTAGGTACGGTACGGTAAAAGCCTGCAGTGCAGCAATTATGCCGCTCAGACCGCCTTGCCCTATCAAATCGCCAGCCCGAGCGCAAGGCAAAAACAAAAGCAGGGCAACAGCAGGGGTGCGCCTGCCCCCGGTCATCTTCATGTGTCGCCATTACGTCTTGCCCCGCTGCTTCATGCAGGCGCTGCGGCCAAGTCCCTCCTTCCAAGGCCCCCAATTCGACAATATCTTTCGGTCCTGCCTCGCAAATCTTGCAGCCCGAGTTTCTTTCTACTTCTTCAAACCTCTTCCAGCTGTTACTACGACTATATCTGCTGCAACACCAGCGTCGACGCGCCAGACTCGAGCAGAGACAGAAACATCCGCAGAAGCGCTCATCAGCTGACTCTGACTCTTGCACCAAAGTGAAGCAACAAATACTACAAGGGCTAGATCGGTAGTTGCTTTCGTCCGCAGTTTTGTGCGGCATATTATAAAAGCCTGCTACCCCGCCAGCGCACTTAGACGCTTCATCTCTACGAATCCGTCACCCTCTACAGGACGACACAAGCCAGACTCAACTCTTTTTTCCAAATGGCGAGCCACAGCCCGCAGGACTATGAATACTCCCGTCGCTACTTGCGAGGAGACGTCATCGATGAACGCGATCCCCGCTACTTTGACAACTATGGAGATGTCAACGTTCGGACCCGCGACCTCGTTCCTCGCGCAGACCCTCGCGACAGCAGCCTCTCTGTAGAGGAAGTTCGTCGCGACTTCCCGCCACCCAGTGGACGAGACTACGTTCACACTCACGATGTGCGCCGTGCTCGTTCTGCAGAGCCCGGCTACTACCAGGAGGATTACGAATATCGCCGCACTTATGGATCGCGGCTCGACGCCCGGGAGAGTGACCGCCACTCGAGGTATGCTGGGAGCAGCCATGGAGGCGATGATCGTGACAGAAAGCCCAAGCACACCAAGACCTTGTCGAAGCAAGAGAAGCTCATTGCTGCCGTTGCCGGCGCTGCCCTGCTCGTGGGCGGCAAAGAACTCTATGACCGCCATGAAGCCAAGAAGGAGGGAAATGGCACCCCAGTGCAGCGCAATGCACTCTCGTCGGCTGCGCTCGCGGGCTTTGGCGCACTCGCTGTCTATTCGGGTGCTGAGTTCTACAGCAAGCAGCAAGCAAAGAAGGATCAAAAGGCAAACTACATCCTCCAGCGTGGTCGAGACGGCCGTCTCGATGAGTACTACGAGTCGGACGGTGAGAGCGATACCAAGGAGAAGAAGGGCCACAAAAACTTCCTTGAGAGTGCAATCGCCGCTACCGGTCTTGGAGCCGCCGTCAAGTCACTCACCGGCCTAGGTGACGACAAGCACTCTGATACTCGGAGCCGCGGTGGTAGCCCTAGCTCCCGCAGCGTCCGCAGCGTCCGCTCCCGCTCGAGCTCCAGAAGCGGCCGAGGTGCCAGCAAAGTCCAAAAGGCGGCCATCGCCTCGCTTCTTGCCGGAGCCACCGAGGCTTTCCGGGTCGCCAAGGAGCCCGGCGGCTGGAGGGGAGAAAAGACCAAGAGAATTCTCACTGCCGCCGCCGGTGCCGCCACTGTGGATGCCGCCCACGGCGCGGACCACGGAAAGCTGGGTCTCGCCGAGTCAGTCATCGGAGGTCTGGTGGGCAACCGCTTGATCAACGGCTCCAGGAATGATATCGAAGAAGACCGTCGCACCGGCAGAAGCCGCTCCCGATCTCGTGCGCGATCAAAGGACGGCCATGGAGGCGTCGGCCTCGCAGCACTTGCAACCGCCGGATTGGGTGCCCTCGGCGCCAAGAAGGCCTTTGATCGATCGCGGTCCCGCGGACGCGACAGGAGCGTTTCCAGAAGCCCCTCGCGAGATCGGGATCGTCACCGCAGCCGAAGCCGCAGCGTTGTGGACAAGGCACGGGACGGTCTTGCCAAGCTAGGCTTCGGCAGCGGTGCTCTCGTCGCTGCTGATGACCGTCGCCGACGCGATTACGACGACGACTATGACGACCGGAGCTCACGCCACTCCGGTCGACGAGATGATGATCACGTATACGATGATCCCAGATACCGCCGCCGTGGAGGCCGTGAATCCCGTGACCGAGACCGTTCTCGATCTCGGGACCAGTCGCGCAGAAGAGGTGGTTATGGATCCGAGTCCGATTTAGGGGACTCCTCCGAGGATGAGAGAAGGGCCAAGAAAATGAGAGGTAAGCAAGTTATAACTACAGGTCTTGCGACCATTGCCACAGTTCACGCAGCACATGGAGTCTATAAAAGCATGGAGAAGAGGAAGGCGCGGAAAGAAGCCGTCAAGGAAGGCCTTCTCTCTTCACAGGAAGCCAAGAAACTCAGAGCCAAAGCTATTATGCAAGACGCAGCTTCAATCGGTATAGCCGCCATTGGTATCAAAGGCGCATTGGGCGAACTCAAAGAAGCTAGAGAAATGTCTCACGAGTGCAGAGAGTGGAAGAGCGAAAAAGAGCGCCGCCGTGAGAGGCGAGCAGAGAGGCGCCAGAAGCTTGGAGAGAGAAAGCGATCCTCAAGTTGGTCAACTCCATCGCGGCCAAGAAACGACGGATACCATGGAGACCATGAGGATGAAGTATACGTCCTCGATCGCAGATACACTGCGGTCTCTCAACTCTCCCAACCGCCTCTCAGGCGGGATAGCCGCTGAGCGACTACCACTCGGGAGTCTGAGCGCCAACCAACAACATTCCTTTTATGGCAACCTTGCATTCCATTTCTACGTTTCAGAGTCTGCAGGCTCACCCCGTCACTCAAACCATTCACTATACGACTTGAATGGCATAACTGCGGAAAGACTACTTTCGTTCTAATCTTGGCATTGGCTACCTACCTTCCAATCAGAGAACTTGGGATTTTTATGATGAAACTTCATATGCTGCGTGCTGCTATATAGATTGAGCTTCAAGCTTAGCAAAACTGTCTTCTTCAATACTCTTGCATCTATATTAAGAACAACTGACTAATGATGATTGATTTGCTACAGATCACCGGCGCTACTGAGTGCTTGTTCTTTCCGGAGAATAAGGAATGCACCCGAGAGGATGGAATCGTGGCCATTGCGGAGAATCGGCATGCTCGAGCACGGCCACAACTCGATCGATTGACGAGAGGAGCCAGTTATTTCTCGGAATCAAGGCCGGATCTGGCGAATTGCACGGATGGGAACACGTTTCCATGCAGGCCAACACGAGAAAGGCGCGGGTTTGACGAATTCTTGGATGACGGCCATGCTAGGTAACGTGGCACATCCCAGATTCTCGATGAAGCAGGAAGGGATATGCGGTAGCTCCGGCAAAGACGGCCCAGGGCGGGTGATGCAGCCCAAGGGCAGATCTACGATGATTGGAACATTTGGCTTGGAAAACAGGTTGAGGGACGAAATTCTTGGATGGCTTACACTGATTTCCTTGCATGTGCGAGGGCCTGGCAAGCTGGGCTCCCATTTACGAATTATGATGACTGATATTAATGAGTGCTTTTATGTTTTTTATATAGTAGAAAGGCAGAGGACAAAAAAAAACTGTGTGATTAATGCATGGCATCAAGTAAATTCATCATTTTGCATATGGACTAAGACACTATCCTTTGTCGTGGCCTTGTGTCACTCCAATCAAAAGAAGAAGAAAAAAACTAGGCAATCTTTTGTTTCCGCTCCCTGGCAAAACTCCAGCAATTCAAGATTCCCCAAGTCTATGACATCATGACTTGTGTAAGCGGCATCCAACTGCATCAAGATCTCGGACACGTCCTTTTTTTTTCTTCTCCTCCCCCCCCCTTGTTTTTTTTTGGGGCTCCCAGCTCCCTAGTCTGAAACGTCACAGTGCGCGGCCCGACCACCCCCCCACTGCTGCATGGGCATGGGACGTGAAATAGTGGTGACGTCGTTGTGCGTCCCCCCCTGGAGCGAATGGATTTTGGATTATCGTGATGTTTTGAGGCGGGTTGCATGTACATGTGCGTATGTACGAGAATGTATGTGGTATGTGGGTGCCCCCCCCATGTGTCTCATCGTCGGTCTTTTGTGAGGAGTATGCAACATGTATGCGTGGAATCACATTGGATGATGGAGTGAGAAGAAGGAGGGGGGAGTGAAATTAGACTTAGACAGAGACAGAGAGATGTATCGGAGTATTAGACGGGTTTTGTTTTGTAGGTATTCTCCCGCCCAAAAGAAGAAGAAGAAGAAAACGGTGTATACAGCGGCAGAACGAAGCGCGCGCAGGCCCTCACGAAGCGCCGGACAAGTCGCCGCCCGTCTGCTTCCACTTCTGCGCCATGGCCATAATGTTGGACAGGTTCTTGGCCTGCTGGTCGTCGGCCGGGAAGACGTAGTCAAAGTACTCCTCGTAGACGTCCTCGTTGTCGCCGCCGCTCTCGTCCTGGACTCTCCTCCGGCGCTTGACCCTGCGCGGCATCTGCTTCTGCACGGCGTCCACGTCGGCGTCGGAGCCGTGCGTGCGCTCAAACGACAGCCAGGCGTTGAGCAGGCTGACGCGCTCCTCCTTGAGGTCCTTGTCGCGCATGCTCTTGTGGGCGCGCTCAAAGACCTTGCGGGCGCGGGCCTTGGCCTCCTCGCTGACGCGTTGTTCCTCCTGTTCCTCCTCGGCCTCGTCGTCTTCGGGGATGTTGATTTCGAAGTGGGCGTAGCTGATCCAGACCTTGACGTGGTCCGTCTTTTCGAGGAGTCGCTCGTACAGGTCGCGCGTCCGTTCGTACTCGCCCTCTTCTTCTTCAAAGTCGATGTAGGCCTTCCACAGCAGCTCTGGCATGTCCAGCTGGGGCTGGCCGACGGCCAGTTCAAAGATGGCCCTCGCGCGATCGAGGTCGTCCAGGCCGCGTTCCAGCTCGGCAAACTTGATCCACGTCTGGCAGTTTGTCGCGTTGTACTGAACGTGCTTCTCGTATAGCTTCCGGCAGCGCACGAATTCAAACAGCTTCCGCTCCAGGTCGACGTAACCGTCGAACAGCTTGTCCTTGGGGCACATGCCGATCGCACGCCCCAGTAGCTTCCGAGCAGCCCCAAGGTCGCCCTGTCGAACCTCAAACTGCGCCGCAAGCAGCCATATTTTGGCAAACGTAAACTTGGCATGGGGTATCAAGTTTAGGCATGTGGTGTAAATCTGCCGGGCGCGCTCCGCGTCCTGGCCCTCGAGCTCCTCCCACACCGCATAGAATATCCACAGGTAAATGTATCGGCGCCAGTGCCGCTTCTCCTGGGTTGGGGGTACTTGGGCAATCGCTCGCTCGTAGACATCCCGGACACGGTCTGCGTCTCTGGAAGCCTCTTCTAGTCCGGCATAGTCGAACCACGCATCGTAGTTTTTGGGGTTCTCGCGCACCTGCTCTTCGTAAAACACCCGTCTCTTTGAGAGGACCACATCCTCCACGCCGTCCTGGTCGCCAAATTGCTTTTCAAATGTCGTGTATGCCGAGTGCAGCAGCCTTGATTTTGATCGAGGTAGGCGGTCAAGGGCGTATTTGTAGATGGCTCTCGCGCGCTCATATTCCTTGAGCTTGGATTCAAACCTAGCATAGGCAATGAATAGCTTCTCGTCGACAAAGTCGTCGCCCAGAGCCTCAACCGCCGTTCCAAAGACCTCGCGAACCAGATCGCTCGTTCCGTACTCTTCCTCAAACTTGGCCCATTTGATCCAGTTTCGGGGCTCGGGGTGGACCATGGTAAAGGTCTGGAAGATGTCGCGTGCCCGGTCAAACTCGCCGTATCGCTTTTCCAGCTTGATGTACGCACTCCACGCCGCCTCATTTGGTCGCCATTGCATCCACCTGTCAAAGACCTGTCGCGTTCCGGGGATGTTGCCCAGCATCTCCTCCATGTAAACGTATTTGTACCACATCTTGTCGACTCGGGGCAGCCGCGTGACTGCGCGATCCAGCAGGTTTCGGGCATGGTTGATGTTTCTCGACTTCATCTCGGCCTCGATGTACCGCGTCCACACCTGGACCTCATTGGGATGGACATCGAGACAGCGCTCGAAGACGGATCGAGCGCGGGCAAACTCTTTCTGCTCCAGCTCCCACTGCGCGTACTGCAGCCAGTTGCTGAGCTTGACGCGATTCCGCCGCACATAGTCCTCAAACTCCTTTCGCTTCCGGCCCTGGTACTCGTGAAGCTCTTCGAGATCGGCGAATCGCTGCGTCGGCGCCTGGATCTGAACCTCCTGTCGGTCGACGGCCTCACGAAGCAGCTGCTCGGCACTGATCTGGATAGGAGCAGCCGCCTTGTTTTTGACCTTGGGGGGGCCACGCGACGACTCCATTGTGCCGGATAGCTCGTGAGACGCCTGATGAGAGCGATTGTGTAGAAATCAGATCCGAAACTCGCCTCGATTAGCTGGGATGAACTCTTGCGGCCCTCAAATAACTGACGAGGCTTTGAAATTTGCGAGGCGGAACAGACAGACGTGCTTGGAGTGGGTACAAAGTAGTACTTGGCGGCGCCTTATCGCCACGATAAGCGATTGATTTGGTGTGATGGCGCACGGACCACCCGGACTTGCCTACCTACAGCGTCCGTTGTTTCTCAGCCTCGCAGCTTCATTCAAATCAGAAGAGAAAAAAAAGAAGCCTAACAAAGCAATTCGTAATCCTGCAGGCTGCACATCGCCCGATCGAGACAATTACTCTCTCTTCCTCTTTTCTATTTCACAAGACACAGCCGCGACTAGAGAGATAGACTTGTTCGCCAGCCAGCCGCCGCCATGTCGACAGTCGCCGACGACCTGCTCAACGACTTTGGAAGCTCAGGAGACGAGGCAGATGAGCTGGACAACGAAGGCCTCGTACTCGCAGAAAAGCCGGAGAGGACAGCAAATGGAGATCGCGATGCCATGGACGTGGACGATGACGACGACAATGAAGAGGCCTCGGAAGATGAAGGCGCGGGTGCGTTGAACGACATGGAGGATGCAGAAGCAACCAAGGCAAAGGTCGAGAAGATGCAGCTGGGCGCCGTCAAAGACGTCCGCAGCGTGGCCAGTCTGATGCAGACGCTGGAGCCCATCCTTGAGGTTAGTAAACCCCTATCCCTTGCCCCAAAACCTCTTTTGGATGGCTTGTTTACATCGTTTTCGAGATGAGCAATTAGCCCTGACGTGTTGGCTCGACTCCTACAGAAAATCACATACTACCAGTCGCAACCGACGGCGCAGCAAACCAGCGTTGGCAACATCGAAGACCACCCCGAGTACCACCTATTAACGCAGTCCAACAGCCTATCAACCATGATAGACGGCGAGGTCGCGCTTGTGCACAAGTTCATTCGCGATCACTACTCGACTCGTTTTCCCGAACTAGAACGCCTCGTCACGACTCCGTTGGAATATGCCAAGGTGGTAGCCATCATTGGAAACGGCCCCATGGACTCGGAGAATATCAAAGTGCTTCAGACTTCGACAGACAATCCTCTTGGCGTTGGACTAAAGGCTGTCCTCGATGGACCCTCGCTCATGATTGTTACGGTGGAAGCCACCACCTCGAAAGGGCATGAAATGGCGGCCGAAGAGCTACAACGAGTACGACAGGCCTGCGAAATGATGATTGCCCTGCACAGAGCGAAGCAGACTCTCACGGAATACGTGCAATCACGAATGAACATTTTCGCACCCAACTTGACGATCCTCATCGGCTCACTCACGGCTGCACAACTTCTCAACGCTGCTGGCGGTCTGACGGGTTTGTCCAAGACACCAGCATGCAACATTCCCTCTTGGGGCTCCAAGAAACGACAAGCCGGTCTGGCTACCAACATCGGCATCCGTCAGCAAGGCTACCTCTACAACTCTGAGATTATCCGGGGCATCCCCAACGACTTGAAGAAACAAGCCATGAGAATCGTAGCAGCCAAGCTCGTCTTGGCCGCACGAGTCGATCGCATCCACTCCAGCGCCGACGGCTCAACGGGAGAGCAACTGAAATCTGCCTGTCTGGAAAGGCTGGAGAAACTTACCGAGCCCCCGCCTAACAAAGGGCAGCGGGCGCTACCCGTACCGGATGACAAACCCGCCAGAAAGCGAGGTGGTCGTCGGGCCAGAAAGGCCAAGGAGGCGCTCGCCATGACGGAGCTGCGCAAGGCCCAAAACCGCATGGCATTTGGAAAGGAGGAGAAGGAAGTCGGCTACGGCACGGGCGAGGGCACGGTGGGCATGGGCATGATTGGCCAGTCCAACGACGGACGTATTCGCGGCATGCAGGTCGATCAGCGCACGCGGGCCAAACTCGGCGTCAAGAACAAGGGCTGGGGCGGCGCCAGCACACTGGGCGGAGGCACGGCATCATCCATCGGAGGCTTTGGCATGGCTCCCGGCATGGATCTCCGCGGAAAGGGGCTCCGGACATCGGGCGTGGGAAGCACCGTCGGCTCTGCGACCGGTACTCAGTCATCGCTGGCCTTCACTCCCGTCCAGGGCCTGGAGCTGGTCGACCCCAAGGTGCGCGCCGAGCTCAGCCGAAAGCGCAAAGCAGAGGAGGACCGGTGGTTCAAGGGCGGCAGCTTCACGCAGGTCAACAACGGCGGAGGCGGCTTCAAAGTCCCGGACCTGCCGGCGTCCAAGCGGGTCGACACCGGGGCTTCCAAGATGGGCCCGCCTCCGGTGCCGAACCGAAAATGAGAGGCCTACCCGATAATAAAAGGGGGATTCAGATGGTTTTGGACTTTTTTTTTTTTTTAATCCTCTTTACTTTGATCAATTTGCTTATTGATGCTTGTTCACCACGGTATTGGAAGGTGGTGCTGTTTTTATCTAGGCGTTTTAAACTACCAAGACTTGCTTAAAGAATGTGTCTATGTAGGTACTAATATAGAAATACCACTACCGAATACTACCATGCTCCAAACGGAAGGGCATATGCAGGTTGAGACTATTCAAGTACTGTACACCAAAAGACGCATCTCTGCTCCTCCTTGCCTATAGAGTCCAAGCCGTAGAAGATTAGAACATTCTTCTCACGTCAATCTTTCTCCTCGCCGGGAAGCGGTGATCAACGTCGTGCCAAGACGACGATCAAAACAAAAGATGTACATGCACGATTTTCCATGGCAAGATTTCCCATGTGGCTGCTACGGGGGCCGGGGGGGGGGGGGGGGGGGGGGGGGGGGGGGGGGGGGGGGGGGGGGGGGGGGGGGGGGGGGGGGGCGG